AGATCCAGAGAAGAAGAAGAAGGTTATACTGAGGTAGTTAAGGTAGTGTTTACTTACTTGTTTGACCAATTTCATCTAGGACATAAATATATATTAGTAACATGATTCCTAGATTTCATATATTTCCGAAAAACTACAAAATTGGTTCATGATATTACAGATTTTACTGTTTTTGATTTGTTTATGAAAGACAGTTATTCATTAATATTCCGAAAGTTATCAAATCTGATTAGAAACGTTGCCATTTGTTTTTTTTGTTTTTTTTGAAAGAAGTTAACTTTTGTATCATATTTTTTTGTCTTCTTCTCTCTACTTGTTTTAGTCTCATTACGCAACGTGTGTCGTCAGTCTGTCCGTCAACCAATAACTACTATAAGCTGTGGTCAACATCCCCGAATCCACATCAGAGATTGATCTGCTATACATGAAAATATTCATTGACGCGGAATATGTACATTTGTTGATGTAAGCACCACTGACCGATCACAGATTTTAAATTATATTCTTCGCCCTAGAAAGATAAAGTAATAAAAACTGTAGTGTTTTTTGTTGCTGCTTTAATGCTACTTGTAGATTTTAGCTTAGTGTTTATAGAAATAAGAAGATGTGGTATGAGTGCCAATGAGACAACTTTCCATCCAAGTCACAATGTGTAAAAAGTAAACAATTATAGGTCAAAGAACGGCCTTCAACATGGAGCCTTGGCTCACACCGAACAGCAAGCTATAAAGGGCCCCAAAATGACTAGTGTAAAAAAATTCAAATAGGAAAACCAACGGTCTAATCTATATATTAAAAACGTGAAACGAGAAACACTTAAGAAACACACCAACAAGCGACAACCACTGAAACAGGTTTCTGTCTTAGGACAGGTGCAAACAAATGCAGCGCATATAATGTGTATCGTTTTACCTGCTTAGTTCGCGGTCTTGCATTACTGTGTATGACACATATGTGGTATGTCTTTTATGCTTTAACATCAGTATTGTATATATGTGTGTATTTGTCGGTTATAAAAGCTTAAAGAGCTTACTTATACTGTTGTTTTGTGACATCCCGACTTTATGATAAATTAAACTTTTCCCGCATGATTTGATTTTGGTTTGACTGTCATTAACATTTCTCAACTTCATGAAATATACACACAATCTTTAAAAACAAAAATATAAAAGTATGCACCATGATATTTAATATCTGCCTAAAAAAAACAAACATAAAGCTTAGATTAAACATGTTAAAATATTAAAGCTGTTCGCGTCCCCCTTGACAAAATGTATTTTCTGCAATAAAAGTTAGTGTTCATTTAAGCATGGATTGTGCCGTTTAATTGCATTCTCTATCCTGTATTGTTTATGTTGTCATGAATCAGTTTATTGCAAATCTCACATCCGTCTATCTAAAATGTTGAATAGAGAAAACAACAAATACTTACAGTTACCTTGGTGATATTTTTGCTGTAAATGGTTAAGACTTTTCTAGTTATTCTGTGGGTATGTACAAAAGGGAACTCACTTTAAATATATGTAATATAAACAGCAACAATTGTCCTGTTAATGATTTGGATATTTCAGTTTCACATTTTACAAATAAAGAGTTGATTTCTCGTTCCCCATTGTGAGTTTGTTTTTTTTGTTTTTGCACCTTCTTACATTCTCTCACAGAAACAAAATACTTAGGTTGTCGTTGCTTGCTGTCTGTCAGATTTATTTTTCGTTTATTGTTTAAGCATAAATCAGGAACTTAGTTTTCTAGCTCTTTTGAATTTTTTCACATTTTGTCTTCGTGAGGGTATTTAAACTTAATACTATACACGGTGCGGATTTTGCTCGTTGCTGAAGGTCGTTTCTGTGGCCCTTAGTTGTTTATAACCTTTACCATTGGTCCTTGGTATGTGTTTTTTTGTAATAACATCTCATCTACCTTTTTATATTGACTAGTATCATAAAAATTTGGACTGCCACAGGAAATAGTCTGACGGATATTAAAATAAAAAATGTGGTATGATTGCAAATGAAACAACTCTCCACAAGTAAAAAACAAAAGACACAGAAAGTAACAACTATAGGTCACCGTACGGCCTTCAACAATGAGCAAAAACCCCACCGCATAGTCAGCTATAAAAGGCCCCGAAATGACAAATGTAAAACAATTCAAACGAGAAAACTAACGGCCTAATGGATAGTTTGTTTACCTTGCAATAGTCACCTATTGATTTTTGTTGCAAAAGATTTTAACGTGCAATGCAGCAACTTTCAGCAAGGGTTTTACTGAAGCTTTTGTCAATCAAATGTATTTGATTTTCAAGACGTCTTTGAATACTTCTGCATTGTTCTAATGGTCCAAAATTTTATAAATTAAGGATGAAATATCAAGGCATATGCAGGGATATTAAAACACTGGTGGAGCGAAAACACAACACAATAATTTAATTTTGGATGTAACGCGTCTTCTGATTGGCTGACGTTGTTTTGTTTATCAGCTCATAGACATAATTTTGTCATGTGACCGTGACGTCATCAGCGTTTTTTCATGGTTTACTCCGGTTTAAAATGGAATTTAGAATTAAATTATAAGAAATGACTGTAATATTTTTTATGTCTATTCGAAATAACATAAAAAATGTGGTGTACACTTTAAAATAACCCGCTACGCGAGTTATTCAGTGTGCACCACATTTTTGATGTTATTTCTTCATAGACAAAAAAAATATTACAGTCATTCCTTAAATGTTTTCCATGTTTGTTTTTTATACTAGTATATTTCATAGATCGGCAAATTATGTCTAATTCTAACCAAGTCTCACTACTTTCGGTTCGGTTTGTTGTACCATATTATATTTAAGCTGTGAACCACGATGGTGGTATAACATGAGAAAGTTTAACCCTTTCACCAATTTATACATGTTATTATGGTATAATCACCATCTAGCCTGTTACTGCATGTTAAAAATATTATCTACTTCAGCCTAATTATGTGCATCTTCGTTAGCCAAGGGTTACGATCCAGTCCCCTCCTCCCCAGAGCTATTGGCTAACGAAGATGAATTATGTGTTATTATCTACCCTTTCAAAATTATTGGCAGTACACTCATTCGCAAAGCCTTAAAATACAAGGATAAGTCATCATCATAGACAACACCCTCTATACTTGGTTCATATCGTCCAGCTCGGACAATGGATACTGCATGCGAAAATTTGGAAGCTCATCCGTACATTTTTTATTGCAAAATTGAAGCAGACGACAATAATGAATTTATCATATATACATGATACAAAATATATAAATAAAAGAAGGGAAGACATTAGTTTTTAATTCTTATTTCATAATACTTCAACAGTTAAAAAAACCAAAAAACTATAGTTAAAGTAAGTTCAAGCAATACGTCATTTAAATGCATATATGCAATACAAAAAACTAAAAGTCACATAACTTCATGCAATACGTCAAAGGCATGCAATACACTAAGTAGTCCGGCAGTGAGCGGAGCCCAAATCGATAAACGTAAAGTACAATCACATGTGTTCATGTAAATTCTATTAAGTTATGTTACTTAACAGTGTTGACATAGCTTATTACAGCTTGGCAGCAGCTCGCGATTCTGTTTAAGCTTCTGATAATCGTTATGTCTCCCAGTTTGTATTCTCCAACTTTGAGTTGATCAACAAAAATGTCTTTTGTTGTCAAATTGTTCACTTTCTAAAAACTTTCGTAATTGAAAATAGATTTGAATTTGAAATATGTGATGAAAGTTCCAGATCAGTATCTTGTAAATTATAATTTCTAATACGATGCAATGTTATGATAAAAGCTCTTCTGGAGAGTTTTCTTTTAAAGGCACATTTTAAATGTTTCCGACCAAGTTTAATGTAAATGAATATAGTAATATCCAGTTTGACACCTCAAAACTCTATAAGAGTCCATTCATGACTGGTTGTTGTTAAATTAATATTCTTTAACAGCACTGATCAACAGGTCAGATCGACCGGAAACCTCCATTCGATACCAGTAAAGAACATTTTGCCTTTATACGTTTTTATAATGGTATCCCGTTATTTCGGAAAGGATACACGGTTTAGATACACCTAGATTTTGTTCACTATTACAATGGTTGGAACAGTGAAAAAAACAGTCATTGTTAGCTTCACAAATTGTAGATCTACAAATAATTTTTCAAACCTAAACATGCTAAATGAATTACATAAGAGGAAAACCCTAAAACACGAGGGGACAAAATAAATATTGTTTGGGAAACATTTCGTTTGAAAAGCCCCGTTTGTATATATGTGATGTGTTTCTTGAACTAAATGTTTTGATGAAATATATTTGCATATATTTATTTTCCGTTCGGAAGCTTATCAAGCTGTTTGAGTATGGCGTTGAAGTCCGATTGCGTAAGATAAAGGCTATATAAATCGATATTTTAAGGCAGGAATAAAATATTAAGAACATATACTCGTAAATTTGTTTACTGTTTGGGATTCACCCAAAAATCATGTATATAACATGTATAACTATAAATAGGAAAGACATCTCAGCGAACAAATATGCAAGTAAAAGAAGGATTATATTCTACACGTTCTATATATAAGCGATGAGAGATTTTCCTGAAGACAAGACAATTCCATATGAATAGATGAAAACAGTAAAGGAAAGAGCAAACACAAAGATTTCCCCTACCCCAATCCCTCCAAGAAAAATCGAAAAGTAGAGGGAAAAAAACACATGCTTAAGAGAGTCACAGGCAAGTTGTTTTAGACACACAAAAACAGTCTCTTCAATGAGTTCAAAGTAAATTCTAAATATTATTTATAAAGATAAGAAGATGTGGTATGAGACCAGATGATATAGAAGTTAATATCTATAGGTCACCGTTCGGCCTTCAACAATGAGCAAAAGCCATCTAATACTATACAATTTCAACGTACATTGAAATATCACTTAGTGGGCAAGCGGGGTTTCCGTACAATATTTATATTTAGCTTACAAGTTTATATCATATGACCTTTTTATTTCCTGGTTAAAAAGGGTGGATGATTACACTTTCTTGTTTATACGATAATATAATTCAGGTAAGGTGTACTAAATATCGTTCTCATATATATTTTATCTTGGACATAATAAACTGACAAAACAAAACAAAACAAAATTATAAATAATCTATCTATATATATATATATAAAGGAATATGAAAAATATGGCCGCGTTTACACCACTGTGACAAATGAATATCTACTCCGATATTGTCCGAGTACAAACAAACCGATGTCTAGAAAGGATTTAAGGTATGGCTGTATGGAAGGGAATATCCGCCATAATTATACATTTCTTAATTTGTAAAATGCAATTTCTTAATTTGTAAAATGTATTTTTTCCATCCGTTATACATGTTATATGAATTTCTACAATTCTTGATTTGTGAAATGTAACTTCTGATCTTAATGTGTAAATGCAATCATCAAGTTCTTAATTTGTAAACGTATTTTCTTTCTTCGTTACATGAAATTCTACATTTCTTAATTTGTGAAATGTAATTTCTTTGTTTGAGTCACGTTTGTGGGAGAATGTGTCAGTGTAATTGTTACCGCTGCCAGCCAATGAGAAGTTCCGTTTCTCAAGAAAAACTGGTACAAGTTACGTACAAATTAACAAGTTACAAATCAAGACGTTTTACAAATCAAGAATGAAATAGTTCCACAATATTCCGCACGAGGTCGCTGTGTGTCCAACTCGTTCTCAATATCTACCAACTCGTACCCAATATTTTATTATTTATACGCATTAAAGTTTTCTTGTTTTTTTTTATATAATATACAGATTACAATAAAGTACAACTCTATTGATTGGTAATCTGATGCAAATTGTTTTCAAATCAGAAATATCTAAAGTTAATCATTCGTCTTAGATTATAATGAAATTATTTGAACGATAATTTATTTTATATACATGTTGAAAAATTATAATCATACAATGTTCAAATCAGTGATCATTAGTGGATAATAGTCTCGAACCTACAAAAATAGAATGGGGTTGTTTAAACGAAAAAATTAACATAGAAGGTTTTATATGAAAACACAGATTTTTATATAAACTAACTAGAAAAATCTTCTTGAACCACATGTTCACCGCAAAAATCAGTAAAAAATTTCCTTCTCTCACATTCTATGGAGCATTTTTTTACTGATTATTGTGTTGAACATGTGTTCAAGAAGATTTTTATAGTTAGTTTACATATGAATGCATTTCGAATTTCTTTGATGCGATAAAGCCAGCACATGAATTCAAAATTAGTAAAAAAAACATAAATATAATCGTTTGGTAGGTTTAATTTATATAAGTTAGTTAACATCGTTTCAACAAAAATGCAGATATATATCATGTCCAAGTAAAATGTCAATGAAATCCGGAGACAGCAGTCTTTTCTTCAGCCCACAACCGTTGAAGAAACAAAACGTTAAGCTATCGTTGTTCAATTTATATTCACTATTTACAGTTTCATTACTGGTCGATTTCTTTTAGATAGTCCTCTTGCACCAACCCCCTATCTGCCAGAAGTCGGTGGAGCATTTGCGATCGGTGGACAAGGGGACGGCCCCTGTTGCTGTCTTTTACTAGGCCGTGGGATATCACTAGAGTAAGACCCTTTTGGGGTCGGATCATGGTTTGTTGACGAAGAGCTGGTACGCTCTGTCCTAGATTCGTCTAATACAGTACCAGGAATATAGAGCTGATTGTCTAAGCCGTGACGAATGATTAACTTTAGATATTTCTGATTTGAAAACAAATTGCACCAGATTACCAATCAATAAAGCTGTACTTAATTGTATTTGTATGTTTCTATGTTATATAAAAGATCTTAACAACTTAAATGCATATAGATAATAAAATATTGGGTACGAGTTGGTAAAAGTACGAGTTGGTAGATATTGAGAACGAGTTGGCTAAGGTACGAGTTGACATGGATCTACAGCAACCTCGTGCGGAATATTGTGAAACTATTTCATTCTTGATTAATTTTGTAAAACTTCTAAATTTGTAAAACTTCTTGATTTGTAACTTGTTGATTTGTAACTTGTAGTTGTTCTTAAGAAACGTGACCCAAACAAAGAAATTACATTTCACAAATTAAGAATTGTAGAATTTCATATGTAACTGGGGTAACCAAAGAAGAAAATGCATTTACAAATTAAGACATAGAATTTACACATTAAGAAGTTATACAGTTCACAAATCAAGAATTGTAGAAATTCCTGTAACGGATGGAAAAAATACAAATTAAGAAATTACATTTTACAAATTAAGAAATTACATGTTACAAATTAAGAAATTGCATTTTACAAATAAAGAAATGTATAATTATGGCGGATATTCCCTTCCATATAGCTGGACCTAGATACATAAAAGTTATATGTAGTTTATGTTCCAGAAAATGAAAAACTTTGATTTTCATGTGCATTTTTTTTCAAAACCAACCTCGAACTCCATACAAAACACAACATACAAAAAGTAAAAAGAATCCATCGTCACCCACACAAGTAAACAGGAAGAAAAAAAAAAAAAAAAAAAAACAGACACAAAATCCCACCCCTTTACCCATTATAATTTACAAGAATTTAGGGAATAATACTTTATGATCAATATATCTATCTTTAGAATTTATATTTTCAGATATATATCACTATGGCTAGTAATACAAATATTTGCGGAATATGTTCACTTCGACAGATAACGAAAACATCTAAACACTTTTGCCCCGATTGCGAAGAAGCCATTTGTGACGAGTGCAAAGAGCATCATAAAGTACTTAAAGCCACCCGAAATCACGAACCCATACCAATTTCCAAATACAAGTCTCTTCCGTTATTCATAACTGATATACAACAGTCATGTACCTACCACAACGAAACGTATCTCCAATACTGTGTTGAACATGCATTGCCTATTTGTTTCAAATGCATTAAAGATCATCAGAAATGCGCGGTCATTCCACTTGATGAAGTCACTCATAATGCCAAGACCTCCGAGCAGTTTCGGGATTTAGAGACTAGACTGGTAGACTTATTACAAAACATTAATAGAATAAAGACGGATCGAAAGGATAATGTAGCCAGTATTGAACAAACGAAAAAACGATATGTTAAATATATTCATCAAATTAGAATAAAAATAAACAAACATTTAGGTCAACTTGAAAATGAAATTATTAAAGATCTTGACGAAAAGGAATTTCTATGCAAAGAGAATATTCAGAAGATTTTACCATCGGTCAATGAAAAAGAAAGCATGATAACAGAATGTCAGGTCAATTTCCAAAGTCTCAAACAAGATGCTACAAATCTTCAAACATTTATTGGAATCAGAGAAATGGAAAGCGTGGTTTATAAAAATGAACAATATCTGCAGTCATTGCTATGGAACACAATGTTTGGAACAAGTTGACCTTGTTTGTAAGGTAAACGAAGGGGTTAGTAGTATTTTGAACAGTGTGAAGACTTTTGGATCAATTGAAATAAAAACGCGACCAATCAACATTGGTTTTACCAGAGCTAAAGATTCACAAGCCCAGTTGCAAGTTACACCGAGGAAAAGGCCCATTTACGATGTCAATTTAACTTTACATAAAAATATTACAACTGGTGGAAAGGTTGTAAGAGGTTGTTGCATGTCGGTCAATGAAGACTTTTTCTTCATTGACCATGTCATTAATCAAATGATGAACGTTATTGCGTCCGATGGTACGTTTAAATATAACATGTCGCTTCATCCTAGTTGTGGACTTGATATAACATTTGTGGATGAGAAAACTGTCGCCGTTACATCTGGGGACTCAGATACGAAGACCGGTATCGATATCATAGACATACACAGACGAAGTATAATGAAATTTATCAAACTTCCTGGCCGTTCATTTGGTATTACACGTGATGGCAACTCATTGTTTGTCTGTGTCATAGGTTTGGGTATATACAGCATAGATATTGTGAAATATACCATATCTCGCGTGATTAGTCGCCCTTTACCTGTATTGTCATACGTATCTGTATTAAACGAAAACATTATCTACACTGACAATAAAAATGACAGCGTTGTTTGTTGTGACCGTAATGGATCACATGTTTGGACATTTAAAGAATGTTCAATTTTGAAGTGTCCTAGAGGCATAACTGAAGATAATGATGGAAACGTGTACGTTGTTGGAGAAGAATCGGCGAATATTGTCATTATATCAAAAGATGGAAAACACCACAAACAAATTTTGACCAGCGTGGACGGTCTTTCGAAGCCATCTGCTATTTACTTTGATAAACAGAACAGGAAACTTCTGGTTGCGAATAAAACAAAAACGGCTTGCCTTTACTATGTTGCGTAAAATAACTGAAATAAAATGACTTACATGATAAGTTACTTTCAGTATTCATTGATGAACACAATAATTATCGTAGATACACTTAACCCTCTAGAGGATGTAAAATAAATTCATTGCAATGTGGCAAAGTCATCGCTAATTAAAATTAATGAAATCATGATTTTTCATGTAATTAAACAGTTATACTAGTATATGTTTTCGAATTGAAGTTGAGTAATATATTTTTTTTTATTAGCAGTCTTAGTAGATATCAATGCTGGTGAACTGCTATTCCTCAACGGTCTCATCAAGTCAGTAATCGGTGCTACGGGCTACGGTAGAGACATGAATTTGAACATTTTCCCTGAAATTCCACGTTGATTAATTAAGAAATTATGAAGAAACTAAGATTCCAGCTTCCTCATGCAAATAAGTTGACAGATTATTTGCGATATCCTTTATATGTCCCTTTTGGGTATAGCCCTTAACGTTTCTATGTATTTATACACCCCTGGATTTCAAATACTGAGGGTTTATACGTTGAGGTTTCCTGATTAAGGTAAATCCAGAAAAGTGCTTGGGACGCAAGGAATTTATAAGTGTTATATTCATTGACTAGAAGTGGGTCGATATCAATGCTGGTGGATTATTAGTCCTTAAAAGCATCATAAGCCAGGTTATTCAGTTCTGACACGATTTTTAACATAAATTCTCGGTTCAGAACAGAACTTTTCGACAAAAGAGATGATTCCAACTTCCAAATTGTGCACTTGCCATCTCTTTGTAGATACATTCCAGCAGCGCCTGCATATTGAGTATAGATCCTCAAGTTTGTACGATATTCAAGAGCCTGCATTTCCTATTATGATTTCATTGAAAGAGGGTTGCTGCGTACAAAGAAGCTATTAAACCTACAGTTCCAAGTGGTTAAGATGATGAAATTCCTTCGAAATTTTACGGACAGTATCACAGGTTGGTTGACCGTCCATTCGTCGTTTTTGTTTGTTTTTTGTTTTTTTTGCCATGGTGGAATCAGTTTTTCTTCGACTTATGAGTTTGAATACCCCTTTGGTAATTTCCGCCTATGTTCTATTATTCCCCGTTCGTAAATAAGAAATTACTAAGAAACTAAATTCCGGCTCTCTCTGACAAATTGACTTTTGATGATTTAGATGTTCTTTTAGGTTCCTGTCGGTTATAAAGTTCCAAACGTTTCTTCATATTTATACATCACTGGATTTTAAATGTTGCGGTTTTAACGTGAAGTCAGTAACAATTAGTTATGGGAAATTTTTCCGGTGAGGGCATTCTGGTATCTTTCGTCCCTCTTTAATAATGAATATATAAATGTATATAATTTGTTCTCGTATCTCCAGATGGATAATGGAAAATTTGGACCGGTACTGAAAACGAAGGTAAGACTGAAAGGGAAAGCCATGTTTAATTGCAACAGGCAACTTACAAAAATGTATGCACTCCTCGGGAGAGTTGTTGCGTATTTTTACGCATCGCACAGTTAAAAGGACACGAAAAAAAAATCGCACGTATAGACTGAAACACTAAAATGGCAATATATTGCATGCATGTCGTTTGTTAAGAAACATCTTTATTGGACATGTGCAGAAATAACAATACAAAAATTTAGCGAACGTTTTATTCTGTATATTTTATTCAGATTATGTATGTCACCAATAGATGCACAATAAACAAAAAACAAAAAGTGTTATGCTGTGTTGAGAGAATTGTAACCTAAGCCTAATCCAAATGACACAATATTTCCCGTGCTATCACCGAATGCAACTTATCACAAAATGTTTACTTGAAATGAATGCACCTGATGTCATCCCCGGTTTAAATTACTTAACCTCGGTTTTTGTGAACTGTTGTAACATGTGTAAATTTGTTTCTGTCTCTAGGCAATGCTGTCCAACTAATGATTTCTTGATTGCTCTTGTTGTATCTTTTTCCACTTTTTACATCTAATCATGTCAGTACCGAAGCAACTGGAGGTAAATAATAAAGGTACTTTTTTTGTTTTTGATAGAATATTGTTTTTCAGTTTTAATTAATTATCCAATTTATCACTTCCTTACTTGACCAAAATTTATTTATTTCATTTTTTTGGTTTCAATGAAAATATTTACAATTGTGGTAAATTGAAGGTTTAACATCAAAAGTCTTAGAAAATATGTCCAAGAACTGTATTTAAAGTTGCCGTGAATTGCATAACACTTTATATAAAGGAATATCTTTATAATTAAAAATATTTTCCCCATTGAAATGATTTATTTTGGTTAAGTTTGCTAACCAAACTCATTTGCCCCGTTGTCAGTTCTTTTTTGACTAATGAGTTTGAATGTCCCCTTGGTATCTTTCGCCTCTCTTCTAGGCCCGTGTTTGCAACAACTTGGCCAAGTATCGACACTTTTTTCTTAAGTTTTTGAATTTCATGTTTGTATTTTTATTCTTTGGCTCGATTCAAGTCGCGTAAGGTGATCGGCTAATATCTTTACAGTATCTGTTTCTGCAATAGAAGCTGTGAGGATTGCAAATAGAATAACTAGGAATATCGACAACATTTTATTAAGTTCACGAATGAATTAAGTGTATTCTGATTTACTGATAATACAGATAAGGCAGTAATATGACACGAGATGTCCTCGATTGACGCAATTCATTTTGATTTTAACATTTTATCTTAGGCCAAGGTTTGGTTTTCTCCTATTCTGTGTTTGTCTACTTAAGTTGTTTTTCGAACGTTCAGTGGCAAATATTCCAATAAAGTCCAAAAGGAATTCCCCCCCCCCCCTCCTCAAAAAAAAAAAAAAACAAAACAAAACAATAACAGTAAAAACAACAATAAATTAAAAAAAAACAAGACAGTGTTTTATTTATTTACCGAACATAGCCATACGATGTGCCTTCTAGCATGGGTTTACATGCTGGATTGGAGACGTTTGGGTGGCATATATCATTCTTACAGTCAGACGATAAAATATGATGGAAGTCTAGATAATTGTACTTTTATAGACCAATCTCCAATGGGGCCTACTAATTTGGTAAGATGATATCATTCAGCTGTTCCACATGCTAATTTTCTGGCAATGTTTAATATATTTTGTGCCTCTTCTTATGAACATGTCAATGTGTTGCGAAATGCTTTGGGCACTTACTTCAGTGGGTGTAAAATTTAAATTGCATATTGATGTACACATCTATTTGCACTTTATGGGTTTAGTTATAAAAAAATTTCTACAACTTAAAATAAAAATATTAATTGAACTCAAAATTGATTAGAAATTATTGATAAATTATTAATACAAATCACTTAACATTAATACAAAATACTTAATGTAGGTAATGTGAAAATGTTAACTTATTTCTTATTTCAATAAAATGCCTGCCGTAGTTCTATTAAAATATTCCCAGATGTATTTTAGCATCAACCATAAGCATGTCATCTTTGGTATTTATCATTTACTTTTGGTAGATTGTTTATTGAAATAAAATACAGAAAATTCTTCGTTTTCCAACTTTTTATTTCACTCACAGTATAATAAACTCCCTCATCAAATCATATTTCTCTGATCTAGCTGGGTTTCTGTATATAAGTAACTACCTAAAAAGCATAAAACAAACATACAACAAAGTCTTTACATTTTTTGTACAACATATGTCTGTTGGCAGATTCATTCCAACCTAAAACCAAGAAAAGCAACACTACAACTGTTCATTTGCTTAATGTTTGGTTAAGTGTGCTGGATTTTTCCATCGTCTAATACACCATGATATTCATTAGTTGCTACTACGGTTAACTAAAACAATCCACATTTAAAAGGGACAGGAGTATTGAAATATAGTCGTTCTTGGACTTCTCCAGTTCCGAATGTAAAACCTGTGCCAAGGACTGTTTTGCTGTCCGGGATGTATGAATACCCAAACACAAGTCCGGTCGAAATAGTGACGTCAAATCCGATTCCTCGTGTTGCTAAAATCCCACGCTATCTCCACTTTAAAGAACATACGCAACATCTTTCTGAGGGATCATTTATATATTTAGCTAGCCTGTTGCAATGTTATATTTTTAACCCCTATCCAACTTTTCAGTTTTCTATCATCCCGGTTGACATCACTTCCAGAACCAACATATTTATTATTGATCGTTAATCTATATTTGTTCACAATATGCACGAAATAATTGCCAATGTGGGTAAAGTAATTATTTATTGATATGTAAGCCTCATATCTTGGCCTACATCTATAAATTGACAGTGAGGGTCGGTTGAGAACATAACTTTACGACAAAAAAGATGATGTCAGCTTCCCAATTTTGAACTTTCAATTTCTATGTTGCAACATTCCAACATCACCTACATATGGAGTAGACATCTCCCAGTTATAACTATATTCCAGAGCTTGCATTTCCTACCATGCGTTTCTTGTTAGAGGATTGCTGTTTACAGGGAAGCTAGTGAACCAAGAGTTCCAAGCAGTGAAGTTGAAATCATCCCTTCGAAAATTTTACGGAGGCCATCACGAGTTGGTTGACCGTTATGATATATTTGTTTCACAGATGACGACGAATATATTCCTATTGTTGTCACCACAGTCCCATCCTCTTTTCCTCGAATGTGACCTACCGAATAAGACTTATACATAAACTGCATAAAAGGAACTATCGAAAATATTGGACTGTAAGAAAGAACACACAGCAACCCCGACTTCTCGAGAATAAAAATGACGTACATACAAAGACAGCCAACACATAGTCCAGATAGCAACTTGTTGCAGGCAAAAAATATGGTGGTAAGTTTTAAGCTGCTAAAATAATCAGCAAGATAAGAAACGAAAGACACTGTAGTGACAAATCCGCAAATGACTCCTTGTAGGGTTATTTCCTCAAATGACTTCACCATTTACAAAAGGACTTACGAGTGGCTCTGTATCGAAGATTATATTAGTCATACTGTGTATATAAACAAGTAAAACAACAAAATTACCGAACTCCAAGGAAAATTAAAAACGGAAAGTCCCTTAACAATTGGCAAACTCAAAAGCTCAAACACATCAAACGAATGGAAAACAACTGTCATATTCCTGACTTGGTTTCTTATGTAGAAAATGGTGGATTAAACTTGGTCTTAAAGCGAGCTGGCAATGTTGAATGAGTCATTCAGGTTCCGTGAAGCCTCTAACTTCCAGTGGCAATATAAT